CTTTTCTAGGGAGATCATCAGAAATATATCGTAAAAATTGTTAACGAAGGGAAACACTGCAGTATATACATACACATCCATATACATAAATGTGTAAATATTTCTAACTGCACGCTATTAAAGCTTGTTGTCCAAACATTTTCGCCTGTTGTACCCCTTATTACCTTCTTGAACTGGTACGTACCCCCCCCTGTCCACAATGGCTAAACAAACTTTTTTTATTTAGGATAAGGCAAATAATATACTAATTATGAAAGGGTTGCATTGCAGGAGTGTTGGTCAATAAATTCGAATTTTTAATAGACGAATAAAAAAGATGGTTCATAGAACATGTGACGTTTCTGTTTGTGTGTGTGTGGTGTGTGTGTGTGATGTGTGTGTGAAGTGTGTGTGTAGGATGTGTTGTGTATGATGTGTGTGTGTGTGTGTGTGTGTGTGTGTGTGTCTGTTCCTTGTTTGTTCACGAACCCTTATGATCTATGTTGCGGACCCCAGTTTGAACAACACTGCCATAAACGATTACATTCACGAATCCTTATCTTTGCACATTCCTTGTTCTTATAATCTGTCGCTGATTTGCTCAAAAGTCTATACCGCTTTTTACCCTGGTATTACATATGCTTACATAGCTGGTTATCAAATTGTTAAAGCTGCAACAATATTTTACTTTTTTTGATCATTCTGAATATATGGCTAAATACACGACAGGGAGGGAAACGGGACTTATCCCTTCCTTTTCCGTTCAGATGATTCAAATATAATAAGGCAACTTGAGTGAAATCAGAACTTGGAAAAGATGGAAATACTTACTTACTGGATTTGGGTCCTTCCTTTCCCTGTCAGCGTTGGTCTTCTGTTCCCGCGGAGGTGAACGCCAGCATGCGGATGCGAGTTTGGCGAAGAACATCTCTTTCACATCAAGTTTACAAACATCGGTAGTGTGTCTTTCATCAAGGTGGTATTTACTAATGATTTGTTGAAGCTGAAGCAAATGCAATTCGGGGATCTTTCAAAACACAGGCTGTGATATGGAGAGCATGATGGAGCCAAGGACAAATCGCAAACATTTGGCATTTCCTTCGTTTGGGCGTCGTCGAAATAGTACATGGCTTACGACTGAAGTGAAAATGTGTGCATGTGTATTTATATACACACACACACTCTCTCTCTCACAACACACAACACACACACACACACACACACACACAACAGACACACACACACACACACACACACACATATACCCATACATATATATATTATATATATATATAATATATATATATATATATATATATATATATATATATATATACATATA